GAAAAATAATATTTACTTTCCTATTTTAAAACTAACTAATTCTAATAATATTACTTTTATCTTCAATACTAAAATTTTTTTTTAAAATTTTACTATATATACTTGTTTTTAATTAAACTAATATTCTTAAGAGTTTTTTTACTCTCTTTGTAGTTAAATATTAAAAAGTTAATTTAACTAATAACAAAAAATAAAAAATAAAATTATATTAGATGTAGTTAAATATATATAGTAACAATAGTATAATTTTAATTTAAAAATAATTTCTTTAGTTATATATTATATTTAATTAGTATATTTATATATTATTATTTTTTCTACTTGATATTATATTAATAAAAAAATTTATATAGAAGTAAATTAGATACAAGTCAATATAAAAAGAAAAAAATAGTAAATAAAAATATTATTGATACTTATAATTGGTTTTTATTAATAAAATTAAAGCTGTTAACTATTTGATATATATTTTTAGTTATATTAAAAAAAGAAATATCAGAATTTATACAGTTAGTACAGTAATAATAGCAAGTTTTAATAAAATAAAAGCTAAAAATAAATAGATAATAAATTTAAAAAAATAATGTATAATGTTATTTAAACTAAAATAATTAGAATTAAACTTAGTTAAAAAAGAAATATAGCAATAATAAATAAAACAATATATAGTAGTAGATAAATTAGCAAAGGAGAAAGATAATATAAATAGTATATATATATAATTATAGCAGCCATTACTAAATTTAAATATATTATTTTATTAAAAAAAAATATTTGTAGAAGAATTAATAAAACAGTTTATTAAAAAAAATTTTATTACTTAGAGTTTATACAGAACAGAAATTATATTAAGTTTAAAATCTAAAATTAAGTAAAAAAATATAATTAGTTAATATTATAAAGAAAAATTAAAAGCCAAAGTAAAAACAAATATATAAGTATGAAAAAAAATAAAAAATTTGCAATACTGATTAAGTGTATAAATAAAAAGTTATTAATATTAAAAACTTTAACAAAAAAATATTCAAATATATACCAAAGTTTATATTGTATTTTGTGTAATAAAGATAAAGATAAAGACTAAGATTACTTAACAATATACAAAAATTATAAAAAAAAATAAGCCAATACATAAAATATAACTATTAATTTAATTTAAATAATATTTTTAGAAGAAATTTGCAAAAAAATAAGCAAAAAAACAAAATTTTTTTTTTAAAACTTTAACAGAAGAAAAGTAAAATGCAGATCTAAGAATGTTAAAAAAGTAATATATGAAAAAGTTAAAACAATATTAAAAACTTTTATTCAAATACTCAAAAAAGCTAAGAGTCTATAATTATTTAGATTAATATAATGTAAAATAGTTTTTTTAAAAATATATAAAGAAATATTATAAAATAGTAGTTAATTAGAATAAAAAAAATAGAATTAACTTATAGATAAAAAAAGTAAATAAAATGCATTAAAAAACAAAACTATTAGCAAAATATTATATAAAAAAGACAATATAATATAAATAATTAGTACTAAATTACAAAAAAAATAAAAAAAGTAAATTATATAATAGAATTTAGAAAACTTAGTTCAGTTTATAGTTTTTAAATAAAAATTAAAATTATTTTTTTATAGTTTAATAACTAGTTTGGTATAACTCTCTGTTTAAAATAATATTCTAATTAGTATAACAGACCATTTTTGAAATTATAAAAATAATTAAAAAATAGTAAGCCAAAATTTAAACAAATTTTATACAAATATATATATATGATTTCAATAAAAAATAAATACTAAAACTACTTAAGATTAAAAAAAATTATAAGTTATTCTATATTAGTTATTTTAAATATATCATGAAGTTTAACCCAACACAACCCTTGCTTCACCAAATGCTAATACTTAATAAGTATTTATATTTAATACTATTTAAGTACTTTAAATTTTAAATACTTAATTAATATTAAATTTTATATTTATTAAATGCTTAATTTTTAAGTATTTTATAAGCATCTTAAATAAGCATTTATAACTACATTCCAATATACTTTAGCTTCAGTAAGCATTTATTAAGTACTTACTAAATATTAAGTAAATGCTTATAAATACTTTGATAAACTTTGTGATATACAAAAGTATTATTTTAATAAATTAATAATTTAGCTTCTAAATGATTATTTGAACTAAACCTTTCAAAAGTCAAACTACAAAAAAACAATATAATTAATATATTAAACTTTATAAAGTTTTTCCAAAATACTAGGCATATATAGTGGCTATTAAAATAGAGTTAAAAAAGAAGCTATTACTTTGTAATAATAATTTAAAAGCACTCTGAAACTTTAGAAGAAATAGTTAGTAAAAGCCATAAGTCTTTTATAAACTAAACAACAAAGTTAGATATATTATTCTTATACAACTATAAAACTTATAAGAAACTCTCAACAGGATAAAGCACTTACAAAAACTAAAGTTTGATTTATTTTATATCTTCTCTTTTTCTTGAGAAAATGTTATTAAAAGTAGATAATTTAGTTTATCTTCTTTAATAGATTGATATATAAAAACATCAAAATAGTTAATAATGTTTACTTTCTAATTAGAATTATATAAATGATACAGCAATATAAACATAACTTATATATGTATCTTAAACTGCTGAAACTCTATGAAATACTGTTTTCAAACTAATTAGTACTTATACTGACTTTTTACATTCAAGTTAAAGTTTTATTCTATATAATTTTTGTTAAATATTCTAACTAAATAGAAAAATAATAATGTTAATTCTATTTAGTATAGTTTATAATTTTTAAAACCTAACATAGGTTCATAATTGTAATTATCTAATAATTATATAATAAGAATTATATATATCTTTTCTTTTTTTCTTTTTTTTTTCTTTTATTTTTTATATTGTATTTTTTATCCTTATACATTAGTGTTTATATATATATATATATATATATTTTTTATTCACTTCTTTATAAGAAAATGTTATTAGATTAGCAACATTCTATTGTAAAATGGTAATTAGATGCAATATCTAATGTACTCTAATTTCTTATAAAGTTAAACAGTCAGTGCAGACAGATCACTTATAGGGCTTATAGAAGTATTTACAGGATGTTGAGCCAAAATTTATACAAAATTTTGTATGTATATATGCAAAAAATCATTAGAAAGACTGCTCAAGTAAAGGAAAAAAAATAAATTAATAATTTATTTTAAATTTAAATTATATTTTTAATATATAAATTTAAAATTTTTAAAACTTTAAACAAAAATATTATAATAACTACTAATTAAATTTTATAATATATTTTTTAATTAATTGTACAAATTTGTAAAATCAAAATAAATATATTTATTATTAAATAATTTCCAAGATATTTTTATTTAAAATTTTAAAAAAATCTAAAATACTTATTAAGGCTATACAAAATTAAATAATTGTTTCTCATAATATAGAATTCTTAAAGTAACCTGCTTACCTGGCTTTTAATCTTTAAATCACAAAAATTTTATAAGTTTTCTTTGTCTAAAAAATATATAAAATATGTAAAATATTTTATTAAAACCACCTAAAAGTATTTATAGTAAATAACTTATAAAATTTTGTATCGAAGATTTACAAAAGCTGGCCTGGCTGGGTTATGAGAAACAATTAATTAATTTTATATAGTCTAAAACAACTATAATCAAATTTTATAAAATTTAGAATAAAATATCTTAATCACCTAACTATATTTATTAAATTTTTTAAATTTAATTTAGAATTAAAATAAAAAAATTTATTAAATTTAATTAAATATTATTAAAATATTTTTATTCAAAGTTTGAAAATATAAAAAATACTTTTCAAAATAATAATTATAACAAAAACTTAAATAAAAATACCTTAACAACTATCTAATTAAATTTTATAAACTTTTTTTAATTTGATTTTTTTTTAAAATAACTTTTTTTGATTTTGACTTTATTAATATGTTAGAACAAAAAAATTCTATAAATTATTATGAAATAAGAATAAAATACCTACACATATAACTTTTCTATATTACCTATTTAAAGAGTCTATCTAAATGTTTTTTACCAATTGCTATACCTAACCTTCTTGCTTGGATGATCTATTTTAAACCTTTTGATTATCATATCCCAGTACCAACTTTATTAGATTACAAGAATATTTATCCTCCTATGCTTGGATCCTTGTCTTTAACCTTAGAACTACTTTAACCTTGATTTTTTTTTAATTTGATTCTATAAATCTATAGAATTCAGATAAAAAAAATTTGTCAAATTTAATTAGATAGTTGTTGAAATATTTTGCTTAAAGTTTGAAGTCATAAAACGCTTATCAAAATAATAGTTGTAGCAAAAAACTTTGAATAAAGATATCTTGACAACCACCTAGAATTAAAATAAAAAATATTATTTGAATTTTGTTGGGTGGTTGCCAAGATATTTTCGTTCAAAGCTTTGAAAATATCTAAAATGCCTATCGAAATAACAGCCACAAAAGCTTTGAACGAAAATATCTCGACAACCACCCAATTAATTTCGGTAGTTTTTTTTTATTTTAATTCTACAGATTTGTAGAATTAAATAAAAAAAATTCATCGAATTTTATTGAGTGTAGCCGAGATATCTTCAGTGGCTTTTATTTCGATAGGTTTTTTGGATATTTCCTAAACTTTGAACAAAATATCTCGGCAACCACCCAACAAAATTCAATGAATTTTTTTTATTTTGATTCTACAGGTCTGTAGAATCAAAATAAAAACAAATTAATTGGATCTAATATAGTGTTTGCCGAGATATGTTCGCTCAATACCTTGAAAAAATTTAAATTTTACGCGTCAAAGTGCATTATCAAAAATGTAACCATTGTACCCATCACGTGTTCTGTGTAGAAATTCACCATTTTTATTGGTCAGATCGTCAAAATTTTGACGTTAAATCAAATTTTAGTGTTATATAATACTCAATCTTTGACAGAAATGACAAAAACTTATTCGGGTGCAGAAGTTGTCGCAAAGGCCCTTAAAGACCAGGGTGTCGACGTTGTATTTGGAATTGTCGGCATTCCTGTTGTTGAAGTAAGTTTGCTAATTTTAATATTTCGAAATACTTGAATTTAAACTTAAATATTTCTGATTTACACATAGGTTGCAGAAGCGATCATTTCTGAAGGAATTAAATTTATTGGATTTAGAAATGAGCAATCTCTTAGTTATGCTGCAGGAGCTTACGGTATTCACGTATTAATCAATGTTTAATTTATGCTAAACATATTCACGGTTTATTTGTTGATATTTCGGTTGCTTGTTTCTGAAAACTTTAAAAGGATTCTTAAGTGGTCGTCCAGGAGTAAGTATTACAAATTTATATACATAAAAGGTTTCTACATGCTATTCATTAGTTCCTATTATAGGTCTGCCTAGTAGTATCTGGCCCTGGTGTTGTACATTCCTTGGCTGGACTAGTCAATGCACAAGTCAATTGTTGGCCTTTACTTCTCATTGGTGGATCATCGGACACTTATCAACAGGGAATGGGTGCTTTTCAAGAATTAGATCAAATAACACTTTGCAAACCTTATTCCAAAATCTCTACAAGGCCATCTTATATATCGCAAATTCCAAACGTGATAGACAAAGCAATCAAAACTAGTATTTATGGCCGACCAGGACCTGTTTACATTGATCTGCCAGCAAATTTTATCCAAGGATCTATTGATTATGAATCAATGAATTTACCAGGTCGTGCAATTGATTCTCCTAAATCACTTGCTGATCCACGGAGTGTAGAAGAAACCGTTCGATTATTAGTGAATGCCAAAAGACCATTAATTATAATTGGCAAAGGTGCTGCTTATTCATGTGCCGAAAAAGAGATTAATGAGTTGATCGAGAAGACTAGAATTCCTTTCCTTCCTACTCCAATGGGAAAAGGTGTTGTTTCTGACTCTCACCCATTATGTGTATCAGCAGCACGATCCAAAGCTATTTCTAATGCGGATGTTATAATACTCTTGGGGGCGAGACTTAACTGGATTCTTCATTTTGGAGCACCACCTAAATTCAGCAAAAATGTAAAATTTATCCAAGTTGATATTTTGCCTGAAGAACATAACAATCATCGACGCATTCATGTAGCTTTATTGGGCCATCTGCCTCTTGTTGTTTCTCAATTACTTTCTTGTTTACCATCATCATTCAATCATCCATCGACATCAGATTATATTCAATCATTGCGACAAAAAATAGATGAAAACATTGCTAGTACCAATGAAAAGTTTAAAGATGATACGATTCCCATGAGTTACCATAGGGCTTTTTGGGAAATAAAAAAGAGATTACCTCAAAATGATATAGTATTTGTAAGTGAGGGAGCAAATACGATGGATATTGCAAGATCAATTTTTGATTTGCATGAACCTCGATGTCGATTAGATGCTGGTAGGTTTGTGTGATTCTTGTTCATTGTCAATTTAGTATAGACATAATTTTTTGACTTTTTAGGTACCTTTGCTACAATGGGAGTTGGATTGGGATTCGCTATTGCCGGTATGTAGTATAATTGATGTAAATTAGGGATGTTGAATGACCTTGTCATTTCATCAAAATTTAAATAACACTAAGTCGGCCAAGTCATTTGAGGTTATTGGTCATTCAGATTATTTAAGTAACCAATAGAAAAAATTATTACTTATATAATAATTAGAAAATCAAAATTTCTAGATAGATTCGTTTAAGTTATCCGTAGTAACAATTTATGCATACAATAAAAATGCCATATAATTTAGATACTGTTAATATGTTTTGTATTCTATGTATTTTACGAACTCTAATTTTTTTCGTAAATATGTAAAATGCAAAAACGTATTAATAAAAAGGTCATCTAAATTGCATGAAAAAAATGGAACAATACAAAATCATTTGCCGGAAATAGGGTTGGTGGCACTACCCGGCATCGGCACCAAAATAGTAATGTCACGTGATGGTACAAAAAGTTAATGTTATGGTTAGTGATTACATTAGGATTTAAGGTTAAGAGGGTATATGGTAAATTTGCTCAATGAAAATTTTAATTAGAGCACGAAAGGTGGTTTCTTATGCAACTTTTTGAGAAATAAGCGATTTTTGAACAAACGAACGTTTGTTTTAATCTTCCTGGTCGTGTAACGTTACATCAAATTGTGATTTTGATCATCACGTGACGGAACAATTTTGGTGATGATGCTGGTGCAGAACATTCATTTTTGATACTTTTGTTGATACGCCTAAACTTACCTTCAATTTCTATAATTTTACTAACTTTACTATAACGTGCAGCCTTATTGGTTAGATTTATGGTATGTTTAGATGTATCAAAAAAGTAAGTGTAGAAGTATCAAAAATATGTTTTGCTGCTAGGGTAGTTTACTGGCATACTCCTCTTATGTAATTTATAACCAATATATTATTGGTTAATTTAATCATTGACCAATCAGAATATTAGAATCAAAGCCTCTATGCTAATTAGGGTTCCTTAAATTCAAATCAAATATACTTTAATTTGATTAGATTCAAATATTTGAATTTGATTTGGTTTAAAAATTCAAATTTGAATTCAAATATTTGAATCAAATTAAATCAAATCAAATTCGGAACCCTAATACTAATTACAGTAATATGAAATTTATGTATCTAAGTACATGGCCCAAAAATTTGACATGTCTTCAACCCTAGCCATAAAGCTAGAAACATTTTACATGGATTTTTATTTATTCATTTGGACATTTACCATCCTTAATTTAAGTTACTAATAATTTACCTAATCTGTATAATGTTGTTCCTATAGCAAAAGTTTATTATCCAAGTAAAAGGGTTGTTGCGATTGTAGGAGATTCTGCTTTTGGATTTAGGTAAAATGAATAAATAGACACTTAAATGTCTATAAATCGAGTTAAAATTATCTTTTTATATACTACTAGTGCCATGGAGATCGAAACAGCTGTGAGGGCCCATCTTCCAATGATTATTATTATAATTAATAATAATGGCATATACCATGGTCTTGATATAGATTCATATAATTCGACATCCCTAAATGCGTTACCATCAACTGCGCTATTACCCGATATAAGGTATGATCTTATTGCCGATGCTACAGGGGGTAAAGGTTATTTCGTGAGGACACCACAGGAACTGGACAATACTATGGAAGAGGCGTTAAAAGACGACGAAAAAGTTATAGTAATAAATGTGATGATACAACCAGGTGGTCGAAAGAAACTGGTATGAGATTTATTTTTATACTATAAATGATGCATTAAAATAATATTATTATTATCGTATAATCTTAGGAATTTGCCTGGATGGAAACGACAAAGCCGAAATTATGAATAAATTTCACGGATCTTTAATTTTTCAAATAATTATGTTTATTTAAATTTGTAACTTTATTATTAAATTGTGATACGTGTGTACATCATCTCAATGTTGTCATTAAAAGTGATTATTTTGTGCATTTCTTGCCAACTATAATAATTTTTATAACCTTTTTCACTTTACTACTATTTTGATCTGACAATATTTTTGTCATATTTATCTACTGAATTCATTTTATAATGTTATTTTTTGAACACTTATCATTGTTCCCTTTTATTTTTTTAAAAAAAGGACCAATATAAGCTTTTTAAAGATTTCGAAAATAAATATATAATTAAAAGGTTAACAAATTTGATTTATTCTTTATCAATTGACCCCTCATCATGAAATCCAAGATTTTTCATTTCATCAGGAACCATTAACCCTCTAAAAAAGTAAAAAATATATAAATAAAAATCTTTGAAGGCAAAAATCTTATTCTAGATTTATTAAGATTTCCTAACAACAATGAATTTTCCTAGTTATCCCAAGATCATTAAAATTCCTTATTTTTATGATACTTACTTATCCATCCTACATTTCAAATAAGCTTTTGATAAATGCCTACAATTTCCATTATTCCCTAAGTTATCTTTAAGACACCGTAAATATTCTTTTACAAGCTCTTTACATTCACCTTTTAAAGTTAAGTAGATAACAAACTGTAAGAATTAGGTATTAAAATCATTTGAAAAGATCCATGTCGAATACCTTCATGATCTAAAGGGAAACTTCCTCTGTCTGGTGGTGTAGAATTAAACGTTGCGATATTTGGTGGTCGACCAAAAGACATTAAGTTTTATTATGTATTATCAAAGAATTTAAAATAGGATGAATCTGACACGTGTAACGTGTTACCATCTTAAAAAGATTGTCACCTGTTATCGTTATCGTTATGTCATAACTAATTACGGCATAAGTCGAATTCGATGAAAATCTTTTTTTTATTTTAACCAGGTAATAGCGATAATTGAAAAATTTAGTCGCAGTTTGTTTTTTTTGGAAAATTATTAGTTTATATGTAGTGTTTATACACTGTTGATTTATAAAACGAAGGTTTGTTAGATTTAGTGCTAGAAATAGTTACGGTTTACATTAAAACTCTAATAGTTGTTTTATGATCTGAACTTTTGAGATTTCAATGTATACGTACACGGTGTACATATAGAAATTGCCTTCTTTTTACGTATGTTTATAATTTTGTTTTTTTTTTTTGGTTGATTTTAATTGACATGTTATACCAATTGGGAATATGATTAATATCGACATAATGAGCCTTTCGATTGGGTAAAAAAAAAACAACTTTTAATATTAATAATTTTAATATGACTTTAAATCGTTCGTTAGTTGCATCTTAAACTATCGAGATATAATTAACGACTATATAATAATAAGCATTCTAGAAAAAAAGAAAGAATCGATCCAAATATATCATCGTTTGACTCAAGTACACATAAAAATCTAAAGTTTAAATGTGGATTAGAGTAATTAAAGTCGAAAACATTAAGAGGCCACACAAATTTGTATTGCAGTATTGTGGTATGGTCATAAAACGTATCGATATACTGTGACGCCAGAATAAATACTATCTAATTGGCCTCGAATGAGTAAGTAGATTCAAAATCCATTCCGACGTATGACAAAGATATTTGATTAGGTGAAAATTACTAAAAAGTTTTATATAAAATATGTTGATTGATTATTGATCACTTATTGACAACTTGCAAAAGGATTAAGAGAATATTATAATATAAAAAATTGAAGAATTAAAATAAATTAAAAAAAAGATCAATCAGACCAAGTCTACTTAATACAACTGTTGATGCTATTCACGCTTTCTACGTATAAAATGCATACAGAATTTACTATCATTGGCATCAAAATTACTAAATCGGAACATTGCTAACAGCCCTAGCATCGCCAATACGTAGCAAAAAATACCGCTGACGTTACATTTTATATAATATTTATATTGTTACGTATTTCTTAATATACGAATCGCTTAGTAATCAATTTAATTTATAATCTATTTTATTTACAAGATACGTCAACGGTATTTTTTTTTATGGGTGATGCCAACATTGCTATACTACAGTACTATATTATTAATATAAACTATAGAATTTATGAACTTAAACTCTTAATATATGTCGAGGCTCCTACCTGAGAATATGAACAGAATCCACTTATTATAAATCCAATCCTAGTCTTAATACTAACTAAAAATCAATGTATTCCAAGAAAATCAAAAATTTCATATTAAAATAAGCCAAATTTCGAGTTTTAACTGCGACAATATATTTTCCTTGAATGCATGCTTTAGTCCTAAGGTTGTGCATCTAGAAAAGATTGTTAATTACACATATTATTCTTACTGATGAATCACATTTTCCAGACAACCGTTTATCGACAATTAAGGTTAGTCCGATTCATAGTTGAGGCTAAAAGTCGGTAAAATAACTGTTGGTGGATCTCTGGCACTTCAGTAAAAGAGGTTAACTGTATTTATCCGACAAGCACTTAATCGACCATTTCTACTACGTATGAATATAGGTAGTGATGGGGCAATTACTTATGAGAATCGATAATAAATGATAATTAGTCCACATTTGTGTCAGTGATAAGAAATTGATCTGGGATACGTATTTCTAATCGTGATGCGATATTGTATTAAAATCTTGAGAGCTTTAAATTCTAAGTTATTATTACTTATTTACAAAAAATTTAAATAGTATCCATTAAATATTAAATAATCGTATGTAATCAATTTAGCCCATTACTAATATTAGGGGCGGTCGAATAAGTTGCATAAAAATCATTTAAGTGCTTTGTCAGATAACTTAGTTATCAGCAAGTAACGTACGTATGTAGCTGTTCCCTCACAATTATACTGGAACCAATTGAAATTTTTTCGATTTCTGGGATCTCATCGGTTTAATCCTAAGAATCACTTACAACTATTCTCATAAGTTCTGGGTCAAAATAAAAAATTTTGTTAGTTACCCAAATCTTTTCGGTTTCGTCCTGTAAATTACCTATCTTTTCGGAAACTACATTGCTATCTTCGAACCTTCAGTCCAAGGACACAGCGATGTAATTTCGTGAGTTAGGTGATTTACGAAACCAGAATTTAATTCTTCGGAAACGACGATGTAGTTTTCAGTGAATTACCGTATTTCGCGGGCTAAATCTAGGCAGTTTTGTTATCAATACATTATTAGTATAATTAATACAACAATTTAAGTGTAAAATTTGCACGAATATAATATTAAACCGTCAACGTATATAAAACTGTAAAAAATTGTGCAAGGGGTGGTTTGGCCGCGAAATACAATAGATGATTTATAAACAAATCGAAGGAATTCTTTGCATTAGCAAAGAACAAATTTTTTAATTGCCATGAACAACTGTAAATTCTGACTTATTCAAAGTTTGCTTCCAAAATCTCTTTGGTTTTGTCCTAAGAACAGTTAGCTTTTTGGAAATTACGTTACTGTTTCCGAACTAAAATTTTAAAGATAGCGGCGTTGTTTCCGAAAAATTAGGACGAACCGGAGAAATCTTGGGAGATATAGTAGCAAGATTTAATTTGTTCCATATAGAAAAGATTATTTATCTCGCTAGTTTCCATAATTTACCATAATTTGCCATATAAGACCACATAATCAAAGCAATACGTACAATAATCATTAAGAATTCTCTAAGGATTATTTCGGAGATTCCGACAACTTTTTTGAGGAAATTGGGTACCAAATACGGATGTGCAAATTGTGCCAATTCCGATTCGGAGAAAATTAACGGTACATCAATCGGGTATATAAATAATAGCACTACTGATTTTCCCCCACTATTTATCAAAATCATGTCTGCTCCTTTCAAAAATTTATCATCTAATTTTACCATTTCTGAAGATAAAAAATATGCAACATTATCAACACCACTCGAAAAATCTGAGAATGATGATCGGGAATATCGGTTAATTGTATTGCCTAACGATTTAGAAGCTTTGCTAATTTCTGACAGTGAAACTGATAAAAGTAGTGCCGCATTAGGTGTTCATGTTGGCCAGATTAATGATCCGGTAAGTTTTTTTTTTTTTATCAAATTGTAAATTTTATGATGATTTCGATTTTTAAGTTGTACAAATGAATTATAGTCGAATCTTCAAGGTCTTGCCCATTTTTGTGAACATTTGTTGTTTATGGTGAGATTTTCTTAATCCTATACAATTTTGCATCGATAATATTTAAATCATATTGTGATAAATAACTTTTATGATTCTTAGGGAACTAAAAATGTATGTATTATCATGAAAATTTTCTTTCTGATTTAATTTAAAAAAATTAGATTGTGACTTAATAACGATATCCTGAGCTAACGGGTGTCGGTGGAAACTTCGTTTCCACTAGTGCACGTATGGCCCATGGTTGATCCTGATATAATGATCAAGATCATTATTTAATTAACTTGTGAACCTCGAACTTTTACAAATCATATATCAATTTAACGACTTTATCGAACAAAACGTGTCTGAATTCCATTTTATTTATTTATTTTAGTATCCCAAAGAAAATGAATATAGCGAGGTAAATCTCTTCCACAGTTTGCAGATTTTGTACGTTTAACATAACATTAGTAAAAATCAACTGGACCCATTTCATAAATTTAAAATATAGTATCTAACAAAACATAATGGATCAAGCAATGCGTATACTAGCATTGATAATACGAACTATTATTTTGATGTTGGACATGAACATTTGGAAGGGGCTTTAGATATGTAATAACTCGATTTATAATTGAATATACAGATATATATTGTATTATTTATGCAACTTGACACTTATCATTTATTTGATCCAGGTTTGCGGAATTTTTTATTTGTCCTCTATTCAATGATGATTGTACAGATAGAGAATTAAACGCCGTTGATTCTGGTAAATGAATTAAAACTGATACTTATTTTCACACATGCTGTGGTTTTGTAAAAATAATTTAAATTCTATTTAAATATCATATTAATATCAAAATTTCATAAATAGAATATAAACTTAATCTTCAAGAAGACGGTTGGAGACAATTTCAACTTGAAAAATCTTTATCGAATCCAAATAATCCATATTCACAATTCGGGATAGGAAATCTTGAAAGTCTAAAAGATGTTCCTTCGAAGGCTGGATTGAATGTTAGAACAGAATTATTAAAATTCCATGATAGCTATTACTCCGCTAATTTGATGAAATTAGTTGTTTTAGGAAGAGGTAATTTTACTATAGCAAGACGTAGTACCGCATTTACGTAATAACGCTCATTAATGTTATTTCAAAATCATGCAACCTAAAAATAACATGCATGTCTTTGAAATGAGTCATAAATGTAAATGAGCTAACCACGTAAATGTTTTCTTATATCGGATGATCAGCTTTTATCTCAAATAACGCATGCAACACGTTATTATGAGAAAATACGGTAGACACTTTAAGCAACATTGTATTAATGTATTTTTATGGTATAGAACCCTTGGATAAATTGAATCAATGGGTTGTAGAAAAATTCTCGAAAGTTAAAAATAAGTCTGTTCCTATACCAGTTCCTAAAGACCATTATCCTATCACTGAGAAAGAATTAAGGGTAAATTGATTTATTATTATAATAATTTTGGCAGAGTACACTTTGAAGCAGTGTTGGCCTATGACATGTTATGACCTATTGTCTACTTTACAGAAACTTGGATTCCTTAATGCACAGTACCTGCGTAGTAACTTTATAGTAACTTTATAGTTATTATTGAACTTAATAGTAACTATATTGCTACAATATAGTTACTGTACATTAAGATATTTGAGTTTCTTTATAGTAATTATATATGATTTCATGACCTGTTATGACTTATAAAATTTATTATTGCATTATGTGCATTATGACCACTTTTGTCATATAAATTTGGATATGACATAAAATGACTAACACTGCTTTAAAATGCTTGACCAGTTGTTATGCTACAAGTAATTTAAGAGTACTATTTTATTGTGATAAAAGCTTCTATACCATATATTAATATAAAAACTGTTAACACTAACTTAAACTATTTTATGAATTAGAGTCAAATTTCAATGAAACCTGTTAAAGATAATCATTGTTTGGAGCTAACTTTTCCATTTCCTGACCAAGAACCTCTTTATAATTCACAAGTATGTTTTTATATTTTAACTCATTTACTATAAATTTTTTTTTTTGAAAATTATATATTTAAATTTTACTTTGTAGCCTGGAAGATATATTGCCCATTTGATTGGACATGAAGGTGTCGGGTCAATATTATCATTGTTAAAAAAAAAGGGTATGCAAATATCAAAAAAAGTTGTTTCCCTGTTTCTATATTAATTTATATATTAAAAATTCAGGGTGGGCAAATAAGTTGAATGCTTATAACAGTCATCAATATGTTGGTTTTGAAGTATTTAAAATATCGATTGAACTTACAGAAGAAGGGCTAGGTAAATTACTATTTAGATGGGCTTTATTATGTAACTTAGTACGATTTTACTTATATATGATTTGTTTATTATAGCTCATTATGAAGAAACTGTGGAAATTTGTTTTCAGTATATTGAAATGTTAAAGCAAGTTGGTGTGCAAGAGCAAGTTTTCCGCGAGGTAATGCAACAATTGGATATTTCTTCTTTTTAAACGCTTAAAAATCCTCATATAAATACGCCTTAATCAAATAAACTAGGTTCAATCAATTGCATCGATAGATTTCAAATTTCAAGAAAAATATTCACCATCCTACTATACTTCAAGACTTGCTGTATACATGCAACGTCCATATCCACGCGAACTTATTTTGTGTGGTTCTCATTTACTTCGTGAATATAATCCAGAACTCATCCTTGAAGGATTAAATTGTTTGTGCTGGGATAAATGTATTATTACTTTATCTAGTAAACTGTTAAAAGAACTTGACAAAAAGGAAAAATGGTTTGGTACCGAATATAAACTTGAAAAAATTAGCGATAAACTTTTAAAGGTACTCATTACTGCATTTAATTATATAAAAAATATATAAATATTTAGTATAAATATTATTTGTTATTGGAATTTTTATGATTAATTTCTGGAAAATTTTTATAGGCGATTCAAAATCCAAAACTTCACCCGGACCTTAAGATCCATCCGCCGAATATTTTTATTCCTTCAAATTTTGAAGTCAATAAGCTTTTAAATGTCAAAGTAATGTCTGTTTGTGATATGATTTTATCGACATATTAACGTGCAGCATTATATTCATAATTAATTTGAGACTCAATTTGTTTATTAGCCATGTACGCGTCCCGCTCTTATAAAAGATACACCGTTGAGTCGTCTTTGGTACAAAAAGGACGATACATTTTGGGTACCTAAAATTGTGGCACATTTCATAATAAGAACGTAATTAAATTACTATTTTCTTAAATATAATACATGTTTACATTTATAATACATAACTAAAACTCAATACATTGTAAAACAGTCCAACAGCACATTCTACGCCTCTGAATTCTGTAAAAACTCGATTATACATTAACCTTGTAACTGACGCATTTACAGAATATGCTTATGATGCCGAGATAACAGGTCTTGCCTATTATCTTTACAATCATCATGAAGGAGTAATTGTGACAATTCAAGGTTACACCGATAAATCGCCCTTACTTCTCCGTAAGGTTGTTGAAAAAATGAAATCATTCCAAATTGATCCAAATCGATTTCAAAAAATAAAAGAAGAATTAAAAAGATCATATGACAATCGTTTATTGGATTCTCCGATCTATCAAGCCGAGTATTACAGAAGTTATGCAACCACTCAAAAATCATGGACACACAAAGAAAAATGTAAATTATTAAATAACATCCAATATGAGGATGTACAACAATTTTATCCAACATTATTTGATCAAGTACAGTTTGAAGGGTCTATCCAGGGAAATATGAGTCGTAAAGATGCGTTAGATATGATTAAAATCTTAGAAGATACATTGAAGCCGTCCGAGGAAATTTTAAAATCACAATTGACTGGAAATAGAAGTGTGTGTATACCTGATGGAAAAAAATTCTTTTATGCGATGGAAGTTTTGGATGAAAAAGAAATTAACAGCGCTATAGAGTATTATATACAAGTTGGTGATGTAATGGACAGAGAATTGAGAGCTAAGTTGGCATTAGTAGGACAAATTTCAGAAGAGCCTGCTTTTGACCAACTAAGAACTAAGGAACAGTTAGGTCTGTAATTAGCTTTATAAAATTATTTATTATAATCTAGTTGGAAATAACATTTTTTTATTACAATCTCATTAGGATATTATGTTTGGAGTACGGTAGAGGAAGGAACAGGTTCAATAGCACTCAAGATTGGTATTCAGAGTGAAAAAGATCCCATTTATTTGGAAAATAGGATCGAAGAATTTTTAATTAAATTACAAGTACGCCTTTTCATGTTATATATCCTTAACTTTTCGTAGTAATACTCAACATGGTTTTAAATTTTTTTTTTTTTTGGTCAGACAATAATTGAAAATATGCCAGAAGAAGAATATAAAAAGGAAATAGCTTCGTTGATTAGTAAAAAGTTAGAAAAATCCAAAAATTTAGGAGAAGAATCTTATAAACATTGGTGCCATATTTACTCCGGTTATTATGAGTTTGATAAAGGTAATTTAACAAAATAATGTGTATTTTTAATTCACTTATATTTTCATATTAATCCTTATCTTGTATATTATTAACAACTAAATTAATAGTTGAAATTGATGTATCGAATCTACGTAAAATTACAAAAGCTGACCTTCTAGAATTCTATAAAACCTATATTCATCCCCGCTCACCTGTTCAGAAAAAACTTTCAATACATTTGAAATCCAAAAATCTCGCATTATTAAAGCGGTTTAATTTAATTGATATTAAAATTTTGCATGCGCTTGTAACTTCTCAAGGATTCGCAAGTATTACAGAAGATGAATTAAAGGGTGCCATTGACATATTGAAGGTTCAAAGCGCTGGGAAAGATGCTCAGGGAATTGAAATTGAGATTAAAAAGTTATTTTTGAAAAAAGTCAGTGAGATGAAAAGTGATCAAGAAGTAAGTGAAGAGATGGAGACAATGTTAGATAAACTATGTAAAGATGTTGTAAATTTGATTTTTGAAGAAGGAAAGACAGATAAGGATGAAAAGAAGGATGAACATGAGTTATCACCTGATAACGAGATGATTGATGATCTATTTTTATTTAAAAGCAGAATGAAACTAAGCCCTGATGCTAATCCTGTTTTACCATGGAGTAGTTACTATGAGAATTGATATCGACATAGACTAATCATTAAATTATGATTCTTGTTTATTGATTTTTATAAAGATATAAATATATACAATATATTGACGTTTTTGATTGCAGAAAATTACACCATTTATATATGTAACACATCTAAACCCAAACTTAATAGAAAATTACTAACCCTAACCTAACATCGAAATTTTTACTTTAAAAATTTTTGAGTAGCGAAAATGATTAGCAAGATTTTCTTTTTGAATTTTGATGGCATCTATAAATTAAACCTAGGTGCATGCGTGAAAGGTATTAGCCAATGACTGTGATCGACAAAATTTTGGTCCACATTATTCATAGTTTTGGCCGGAATTATCTCCTGATGTTGTGTAATATTAAAAATAGAAATTTTAGGATTCAGGAATATTTTTTTACTTAATTACATTAGTAAAATGTTGAGTAATTTAGGCATAAATTTTTGTTCGACTCTGTTGGCCAATCAAAATCGTGAATGTGCAGCACGTGACATTTACCTTTTCATACCGCCCAAACTCTAAATCCTCAAAAATCCTCAAACTAGAAAAGTGTTATAAAACACTGGCAAATCCCTGAATCCCAAACCCGAAATCCAAACCCCAAACTCGAAATCAAAATCCCAACGTTTGTGTTTTAATCATATCGATAGATCCAAGTTCTATTTATATATCATTATTTATGTATGACTACGCATTAAAATATCTATCGGCCAGTGGAATGAACATGTTTTAAATATGTAGAAATTTACGAACTTGAATGGCATACTTTTTAATACTTCAATTAGTAAAGGTTCTTTTGTCTACTGCTACACCTGAAAACTACCTCTTATAAGTTCGGTATAACGGTTTTACTTTAGTGACGGGTAGGTTAAGTAAATAAATAACAATGACGATTTATTCTTAAGTAAAGTTTAAAGTTTATTGCGGTTAGGCTTTTCTGAGGATTAGGGTGATTTGCAGTTACAAAAGAGGTAAACGGCTAAATGTATATGAAGATACAAGTAGTCGTATAACAAGTTTATGATTTACCCAAGTTATTCGTATATGGAGACACTACAACTAGTCTATTATTTATATAAAGTGCCGTGTACGAAGACACGACTACTCTTTAGAGGATTGTTAGTTTATGGTTTAATAAAGTGATCGAGCTGTTCGCGTATGAAGACACAACTACTCCTTTATTATTGAATTGTTGAGTTTAGAACTGTTTTTCTACAAGAGCAACATTTTAGCTTATTCATAGATTTCAAATCGTTATGACCTTTACAACATCTTTCTATTAATACGATTTAGCTTTACCTAGCATTTCCCGTACTATTTAAAGCTATTGTTTTTACAGGTGCTTAATAAAACTTCTAGCTTTATATATCGCTATATAGCGCTTTGTAGCGCTACTAATGTTCTGGACGTTAGTGTTGCATGGATTATTAGTAGCTAACCCACAAAATTTTTTTCGGCACGTGTATCGATATAGGCTGTTCTCAAGCGCCTCCCTCGATGGATTTACGGAATGATCTGACTGGTTAAAAAATTGATCGTGATTATTACTTAGATCGAAAAAACCTGAAATAGTTTAATTTCACCAGGTGAAATGGTGAAATAATTTCACCAAAATTACACCAAAATAAAAATTTGGTGAAATGGTGAAATTGGTGAAATTGGTGAATTGGTGAAATTGGTGAAATTGGTGAAATTGGTGAATTGGTGAAATTGGTGGAATTGGTGGAATTGGTGAAAATGGAATTTACTAATCGTTAATATGTATATATACATATATTTTTTTTAATTTATGCGTATTAATTATCTACATTAATGGTGCTGTTTGATGTTACACCTCTTTTCAACTATATATCATATTACAAACAAAAGCGTTACGTATCAAAAATAAATTACTATATATATAGTATATTTTAATTTTGACAGTTTATGCGTATAATATACGCCTTCCTTTGTTTAAATTAGTAAAATAAATAATTTTATTGAAAGGTATATAAATCTACAATACAGAAAATTACGTTTCTTTTTCCAACTTCCAAGCTGGTAAACAAATCCTTATCGTTATTATTTATATAAATTATCGTTAATTATTATCATATACAATAACAATAAAAATAAATAATTTTAATAGTAAAATAGTGCATTTATATTTAAACTAGGGATGTGATCCTGCTTATTTGAACTCTGTTTGGCTCTGTTCGAAACCTGAACTAGTTGAACATGAATTTTTTAATCACGTGAATTTAATAATGTGAAATGAAATCGAATCGAGTTCGAAATTGATCTTACGGGTAAAAAGCTTCGTGATCCGTAACTTTTAATTAATTTTATTATATAATTAAATCAAAATGAATTATCGTTATGCAAATTGAGTTTATACATGTATTCTAATAAACATATAACTGGTTTAAACTAATATGTTTAGGAAAGCATAATATTCATATGTATAACCAATTTTAAAACAGAGTTTGGAACCCAATTTTTGTGTTTCAGAATCAGGTTCTGAAGCACGAACTAACCAGTTTAAGCAGAATTACATCCCTAATTTAAACCAATGCTTATTATATGTTTCAATAGCATACCCATCTTTGCAAATATAAACCTTAAATTTATATTTCGCTCTGATTTAGTTATCGTAATAATAACCAACATTATATATACCTGTAATATCACCTGCCTTGGCAGACACTTAATTCTGATTCTACATAGTCTCATACTAAACACATATTATCTTTGTTCTTAGCTTCGTAACAAACGCCAATATTATGTACTCTATCTACATGAGCCATCTCTGCAGATTTCATAAATCATTCAAATACGTTATGTTCATCTTTTTGACTCTGATCTGTTTAAATATTTTACTAATATAATCAAACTTATCTAAATGGTTAATGTTAGTTTTTTCTGTTTAGTTAATACTGACTATTAACATAATACATCTTGCGAATTGTATTAACCATTCAAATACCTTTTCAGAATCTTCTTGATCCTGATTCATTTAGATACAAAAACTTAAATAATCTACTAGTATAACACTATTTAAATGCTTTCTCTTGTACTTCACAACTCTGATTCCATAGTAATCATGATCATTGATATTACATATTTCACTAGCATGTTTCACACCTATGAATTTCATATACAATTTAATATTGTCTTTCTGTAATTATTAATAAAAATGTTTATATAAGTATAAAACCTTACCAGATGTAATAACATATTCTACTATTTTTTTTGTTTAAAATTATGCAATTCTTAAAAAAACATACTATTAAAAAATTTTAAGCATATTGTTTAACTATTGTATTTATTAGTGTGTAAAAAAAACTAATTTGTTACACACATAATGATAACCAAAATACAGGTATAATAAATTTTTTAATCATCAACTTGTAATGTCATTTGACATGCTAACTCAATAGAATCATAATTCATATTATCTATATCTCTATCCTGATTAGTTGTAACAGATTCTGAAGAAAACATTGTATCTTCAGTTGCTGAAAATTCTGGCAATGTTAAATTTACAAAATCCATGATATTTAATGTTGAACTTTCTAAGATTTCACTATTATTGTTATCATCCAAATTATTAACCCCATCAGTATTTTTATTTAAAACTTCAAGTAAATCATATGTAATCATGAACATATTAATACTTTTATATAACTCTTTATTACTTAAATCTTTGTTATAGAATTGGAATTCTTTGTCAGAATTTGAAAGATAATAAGTGCATATTTTTGTCATATCTTCTACCCAAGAAAGACAAAGTTGAGTTTGCTTATTACTATAAAACCATTTAAGCATTGAGAAATTCCTCTTGTAGACAGCCTATAAGGGAATAACAGAGAATAGACGTAATGCTAATTATAAAAGTTGCTCTTGATTATTATTAGTATTTAAGCTAAGCCACTACTTAATTGACGTTTCATGTGCAGAATTATATGTAAGATCATAAGGTTTGGTTTTTCTTTTCCAACTTCACATTTCTGTTAATAGTTGTTCATACGATTCTTTTGAATAACATAAATCATTCCAAATTAATACACCTGTTCATAAATTTTATCCAAGACTGTTTTTTTTAAGCCATGACCTAAAAATATTTGGATCTAATTAATAACAAGAAAACTTGGTTAAAATTTTTATTTATATATATATATATATACCTCTATATAAAGAATGTAGCCAGTATATAAGAATTGTAACAGAATTTACAAGTTCATCAAATCATTAATTAAAATTGGTAATAATATTATTTTTTCATGGGTTAGAATTTTCAACTTGATTAATACTTGCTGCTAACTTAATCAAACCAATAAAAACATCGACTAAATTGGCTGTTCTTGCTTCTAAACAATTTGTTAATTCTTTTACAGGTTTTAAAATAACAGAAATCTGATGGCATTTAATATAAAAATCTTCATTCTAAAGAAGTTTGAACACCATAGTATTAGAGATTGCTGATAAATGATTTTTTAGAATCTGTAAATAAGTTATATCAATTGTTATTAATTATTAAATTTAAAGTTAAATATTATTAACTAGAGTGTCCAGAGGACTGCTGCCTTAACTAACAAATTCTGTTGCAATTGTCATTAGATTTGTGAATTCTGTGGTGACATATAAATAATACTTTAAAAAACAAAATTATGATAAAAAGAAATTCTAAAAAAAATTCCAATTTCATCACAATAGGCATATTCACTAATAATTTTTTATTCAGCTCACAGAATCTGTATGAATTCTGTGCAGATTCTACTACCACAGTACCTGGACACTTTATTATTAAGTATTATCATTATACTTACCCAATCAAAAACTGACTTGGATTTAACAATTGAGTCAATTGTTATAAAAAGCGATCCCCATCAAGTTTTGCTATATGTTTTAATTTTTTCACACTTAATTTTTATAATACGAAGTTGCTCTAAATAATATCTATAAGCAATATGAGAATTATGAAAAAAATTTAAAATTAAACCACATTTAGTAACAATATCTTTAACCGAATCTAATTTAGTAAAATCACATGCAAGAAGATTTACTGCATATGCAGCACATCTAATATTTAATATAAAAGGGTAAGTTTCATGAATGATTCAACAGCTACTTGAAGATTTGATCCTGAATCTGTAACAATTGCCATAAACTTTTCAATACCTATTTTTTCAATAAAGTTTAAAATTTCATCAGCTATAAACTCTCCAGTTTGACTAACTTTGTTATATTCTTTAAGTTTAATGAGATATTCTCTGTGTTTAGGGGTAGTAATAATGATGTTATAAATTGAATCGTGAGTAGGCAATGTCCATCTGTCTAAAGCTATTGTATTAAAAAATTTTTTAGAAATTTTATCCTATTAATTATTTTAAAAAAATTTATATTACATACATAAAGTAAGATTTTTTTCTTTTTCTAATTCATTATCAATTTGTTTATTAATTCTTAAAACTTCTTGGTCTAAAAAATGACCAAAAAGTTTATCCCGTGATGGAAGTTTATATCCAGAAATTGCAAATTGAAACAAATCAATTACAAAAGGATTTTCAATGGTTTCAAATGCAAAATTACACATACTTCAAGCCTTTAAAATGACTCTATTTAAGGATTCTGCTCATGTTTCAGGAATTGGTTTAACTTTTTGAAAATGAGTTGTAATTTCAGATTGATCATTTTTTGTTTTTTTTTGTATTGTTTTTTCTTCAACAATAGAGTCTCTCCAAAAATATTTAATCTTATTAGGAACATTTAAATACTGTCGAGCAAGATGCAAACACATTTTATTTGGTCGACCTCTATCCCACATAGTGGGACACTATTTACAACTGGCTTTATAATAACCATGGCCCAAACTAGTATCTTTATTAACAAAATTCCAAATATCTCCTTGCTTTTTACTACTCATGTGTTTGCATTTTATGTTATTAAGTGATTGACTAGATTTACTTATTTCACTATACTTCTGTAGTTCATTTTCACTAGCACTAAACATATTAGAAACAGTTTCCGAATTTTGTGAAGCCATTAATTTTGCAAAAAAAAAAAATTATTACCATTATATAAATATAATATGCTGCTATCAATATGTAATTTACAATAACTAATAAAATTAAATATTCTTACCTTTTTAGTTTTATTATAACCAGAGTTTGGTATTCAATATACCAGATCCAAACATAATATAACTAGCATATTTGGTTGAATTATCAAATTCATAAACTCTTTACATACTGATATTAAAGCATTATACATAAACAGTATCATCAATCAATTGTACAATAATATAGTATATTGATATAGCATTTAGAACTTTACTAAATGCCTTTTTTTTTTTAATGTTTTAATAACAATAACAACGATGTACAAAATAATGCATCTCTCCTTCCTGCAGATTTCTGATAATAAATAATGCCTTACAACCATCTTTTTTAACACTTATTATTCTCATTCGAATCAATTTATTGATTATAATGAAATAATACAATAGGTGTTATACCAGGTGTAACTCTTTACATGCTTCATCACTTATATTTATACTTTATAGGATTTCTTAACTATGACAAAATCACATAATAAAAAAAGAAGGTAATCAGGTACATACATGCATGACATACCATGACTGTAGATTTTTTTTCTCTCCATATTTATATGTATGAGCATCGGAAAGTAAGTTACCAAGAGAGCTCACCCATATGTTGGAAAACAAGTACCCAAGCTACTCATTTTATTTTATGCTTCTTCATCAAACTTTATTCTTAAATAAATAATTTCTTCAATTATCAATACATATCACAATACTAAACACCACATGAGCATCATGAAGCAAGTTACTAAGCGAACTATCTATACATCATAAGCAAGTAATTGAGATACTCCATTTCTCATTTCCTCATAATTTTTAATTCTTAAATTCACAATTTAAGTTAGCAAGTTCTCAAGCATCTCTTTTCATTTATTTATTTATTCATTCATTCCTTTTTTGGTAGAGTACTACAAAAGAGCTAAAGTCAAGCAGCAAAGGAAAAAAGGCACTATCGATTTCCAATCTTATATATCATATCTATCACATTCTTATTTTCTTCCTAACCTTAAATAGCAACAAGGATTTTGTAATTATGCCCTTGGAGCCTACCTGTGAAGATCTTTGTAATAATAGGCTTAGCATGATATCATCATGTGTTAGGTTATTTCATATTGATAGTAATCTATTCTATCAGAATCACCTGTTCAGCATATTTTTGGTAATTAATATGTACAACTTTCAATCTACATTCCTGTCTCTGCCAAGTTTTGATAATGAATGCTTCTTTTCAACATCTATTCTGCTCAATAGCAATATGAAAAATTTTAATGTTCTTGTTTTAGTAGATTTTGATAGCGAATAAATCCCTTATGTTTATCTTTTCAATGCTATACAAGTATATTCTATCTGTATTTCTTATCTCAGTGGATCCTGACAATAAAATAAATGGTTTATTTCATCTATTTCACTTATAAAGAAATCTTACATTTTTTGGCTAGGTTTTTATCAAGTCTGTTCGCTATTATTTTAATCAGGATTTTTATAAACATACTTCATACTTTAAAAAAAAGCTAATAAGAAAAATAATCCATAGCTTGTTTTTAGCAAAAGAACAATAAATAATTAGATCATATAAATATCAGAATATTAAACTTGATATTAGTTACATTAAATTTGTAAAAAATAGCTACTTAGTAAAGGCCCACCTTGTAACTTCATTTGCAAGAATCAGATAAATAAGGTAGCAGTAAATATAGTAAACACAAAATGGAATAAAATAAATAAAATGAACTATTTATCAAAATATAAAAATATAAAATATAAAAATTTATTGGAACAAGAACCTTTAGAGTGTAAATTCATTTAATTCAGATTTTTTTTAGTATAAGTGGGCAAACACTGCCAACTCTGCAATTAAAAAATTAATGATTACTAATCATTAGCGAAGCTTATTTCTTATATTGCCTACCTATACTAAAGAAGATCTGTTAATTCATTTATTATATTACCTTATTTCACTATTTTACTATTTCACCAATTTCGCCATTTCACCATTTCACCAATTTCACCAATTTCACACCAATTTCACCAATTTCACCAATTCACTAATTACACCAATTACACCAATCCACCAAATTACACCATTACTGATTGGTGATTGGTGAAATAATGAAATTATTTTACCAACTTAGTTTAATTTCACCAGTATCTCTAGCTGTGACCCACCAATTTATTTCATAAAGCTGTACTGATTGGTTAAATTTTACTATTGACAGAGTAATAAAGAAGACCATTCAAACATATTCTTTTATTGAAAAATTATTTTATTAATAAAATATGGATCTTCAACAAGACCATACCAAAAAATTACTAATGTTTTTATTTAAAAACTCTTTGTTGATCTTTATTTCTAGAAATAAACAGAAACAGAAAACACGAAATTAGATAAACAAATATCTTTTAAATTTTTTTTAAAAAAAGATTCAACACATAAAAGCACAAATACTTTATCTAAACATCAATATAAAAAAAAATTGTAACAGAGTTTTTACTTATTCTTGTATTTTTTGAATAGAACTTTTAAGAAAATTGAAGAATTGTTTTAGATCTAAAAAAAGAAATCAAAACATGTAATCAGTTAGCAACAATAAACAATAATAAAACAAACATTTTATGTTCTATTTTTAGTAATAGCAAATTGAGTATAATATATATTAATCAAATAAATAAATAATAGAATAATTTAAAAATAAAGATATAATTTAAATTAGAATTGTTATATAAT